TTTTGTTTTGTTTTTTTCTTGCTTGTTTGTTTGTTTCTTTATTTTTTATTACGATACAATATACTTTTTTCATACTACAAAGAAAGTAATAATTATAAAGTAGATATTTTCAAAAGAATTTTATCGAATATTGGTTGGTTAGAGTGACTAAAAAGCTAATCAAGCTAGATATTTTGCTTCTAATGTTGTTTTCTATGTTGTCTAGGTTTAGTCTAGGATGTAAAACTTTGCTAAATTTTACTTCACTAATTTAAACTTTGCTTCTCTAAATTTGTTTTGCAGGTTGAACTTGCTACAGGAAAGTTTCCATACCGAGACTGTACTACTGAATTTGAAGTTCTTTCTCGAGTTATGAATGAAGATCCACCTTGTCTTCCTAGTGAACAAGGGTTTTCAGAAGAATTCTGTTCCTTTGTTAGTGAATGGTAAGCATTGATCATTGTTATCATAGACATCAGAGATGTCTAACTTTTGCAATTCATTATGAACGTACCTGTAGAGTTTAGTTTATCATTCATTATTTACTTTATTATGCTGTCCAATTAGGAAGTAACTGGATGAAAAAGATTCCGAGTACTGACAAAATTGGAAGAGGCTGATAGGCCGAGTCCAATTTGGTAGTCAGAGGAAGTTTTTGAATTCAATTATTTCCAAATTGGACAGACACGTACAGTAAAACCCCACGTATAAGAACCTAGGTTTTTTCAAGTTAGCCTAAACAGGTTCTTATATAAATGGTATTTAGTGTTAAATTAGGCTAACTAGGTTCTTAATTAGGTTCTTAACTTTTGTTCAAGAAATAAAGTAGTATTTTTGAATACTGCAGTCTGGTCTTTGTTCTACATGGACTGTACAGTATTCTGATATTAAATTCATGTACTGTGATTTCATAAAATCAAAGGTTCATCTTAGTTTTATTTTAAGTTGGATTTTTTAATTCAATGAGGACATGTTCTTCACAGTAACCATGTACAGTTATGGTGTTTATAGCATTATTGTGTACAGACTATGTTATAAATATCTTTTTGAAAAGATTGATTTTAGGATTTTAGGATTTTAGCCTAAAATGGTTCTTATGTAAAGGGTGCTTAAAAATGAAATTTTAGCCTAACAGATTCTTAAATTTTAGGTTCTTATACGCGGGTTTTTACTGTAGTCCTATTGCAGATTAATTATATCATCCCAAATTATACTAGAGTAATTCCACTAGTCATAGTTTTCCCTCGAAAGAACGCGGATGGAAACGATCCAAATTAATCTTTAATTTGGACAGGAGAGAGAATTTGAAATATTATAATAATATAATAATAATAATAATGATATTTAATGAGGATACTCCACTCATAAAAATGATTTTCAGGGAGGTCCTAAAAAAAATAAGTGAAAATAATTGACCGAATCGAGAACTCGGCCGCGAGCGCGCCGATATAGTAAAAAGCGAAAAATCACATTATAGATTCCTAACTCAAAGGTCATGACTCATATTTAAGAAACTTAACCTGCGTAACGGCCCTCTTTTATTTATTTATTTTATTTATTTATTTTTTAATTTTTAATTTTTAATTAAAAAAAAATTTTTTTTTTGCCCGAGGACCGCTACGAAGGCTACAAGAAACTAGGTTTTTCGGCATTGAATATTTTACCTTTTACATCGTGTTAGTCAGTCTCAGATTTTTTGATTTCATATTTCTGACGCACAATGTTTTTTGAAATAGGTGCATGTAGTGCAGATTGGCAGACATTAACTTTTCCTTTACCACTCTTTTCTTTGCTACGCGCTGATCGAGACAACAGTCACGACAGGGAAGTTGGGCAATACACTTCTGTCAGCTCACTTCACTTACTTTTCCTTTCCTTTCCTTTCCTTTCCTTTCCTTTNCTTTCCTTTCCTTTCCTTTCCTTTTTCTTTTTATCGCTTCCCATTTCTTCCCTTTTCTTTTTTCCATTCCCTTTCATTCTGGGTTTTTTTCTTATTCTTTTCAGGACAAACTCCTCTTTTTAATTCATCCTTTCTTTTTGTATTTTCAGCTTAATAAAAGATTACCAATACAGACCAAAATATGATAAACTCCTGGTAAGTTTGTGTACGTTATTATGACTAGCTACAACCACTTGACTATGTACTTGTCTTTCTATTCGTACCGTTATTATCTCCTCTATTACTGCGCCAAACATCTGCTCTCTAATTTGTATTCTAATCAGTGTGTTTTTAATAAATTGGTGGCTTCGTTTCGTCTGTAATATAACTTAACTTTCGCTCTACTGAATGTTTAACCAACGTTCATGAAAGCTAGGAGTATAATATATTGACTGTTGAATATTCACAGAGACAAAGTTTTTTTGTGTTACGTCCATTCGCGCCTCAAAACTGCTCGAGTTGTTGGAACTGAAAGTCTTTGATAGAAATTATACCAAGATTCTTCATGAATCTAGACACTTTTGCAGCAGCAAGTAGCAATAAAAAACATTTCTTAACCATTTAAGAGCCAACATTCTTTATTTTTATGTTTCAGAAACATCCATTTATTCAGCATTACGAGAAAGCAGACGTCGATGTTGCATGCTGGCTTAAAGATAAAACAGTCAGTTGAATAATACTGTTAATTAGCTCCATGTCATGAGCATTCTGTAGATGTAAATTAATGAAATACCAAAAAAGTTGATTCAAGAATTCGACCAAAAACATTCTACGAGGACCATTATGCTTCGTAGAATAGAATGTTTACAGTCCTTTGACTAAACGTTGTCGTTTGCTCGGCTTTATCCCTACGCGCCTAGACCGAAAAGGATAATGGGGATAATTAATTGACAGTTACTCGCTGCCGCATATATTACCTAACACGTCTTGAGCTCGCTTTTTTCGATCACATTTAATTTGCTAAAACCATGCCTCGAGCATACGGCGAAGATTTAAACTGGCGAGCAGTTTGGATGACGCAAGTTCTGGGTAATTAACCCGTTATCTTTTCCGGTCTACGCGTAGGGATGATCCGATCAACTACAACGTTTAGTCAAAGGACTGTATGTCATGTCATTAATGAACCACTTCATCTTCAAAATTATACAATTAATTGGTTTTTGAAAAATTATTTCTTATATTTACTAATCAGAATTCATTATTATATTCTCAGTCTTCAGTATATATAGTATGGATGGGACTGAAGCACGCTACCTAGACTCTCAAATGGCTTCCTTGTCATTTCAAGTAATTTCATTTGATAATTCGAAATTCTGTGCATTCTTATTGGTTCGGTGGAAGTCATTTGAATTTCAAAGTACTTCACTTCAGTTCCAAATATTTTGTTCTCTAGGCAAAGCCAGTGAGGTGACGATTACCAACTATTAACAGAGCTGTTTAGTCTGATGCTTGTTCTGAGCATTTCGAGTTCTTTCACAGTTTTCCAATTGTTGACTTTACGATGATAGACATAATAATAATTGTCTATGGTGTTAAAAAAGGTGTCTATCATTGCAAGCTCATCGTCATTCTCGCTTCAAAGCACAGGCAGGGTTACCTTCGGGATGGCGCAAAGAACTGTGAAGGGGGGGACTATTACATAAAACAATGGACGACTAGCACTAACAGTTAAACGAGCAGTTGTGTCAAAATGAACATCAGAAATGAAAAGATCACCTCAACATGTATGGAGGGTGATTTATAGCTCACAACGAGCGAAACGGGAGAAATGGCATTAACATAAGACTGAACGCTTTATAGGGGTTTGTATGGAAAAATGCGCTGGAAGGCATGAGCTCACCAGCCAACACTTTTCCTTACAAATCCTCTCAAAATATTTGATTTTATATTAATTTTAATATCATTACTCCTAAAGTCAACATTATTAGTTAACAATTCGCCTTCATACTAATATCGAGGTGCTCTTTTCGGTTTGACACAACTGCTCGTTTTAATGTGTAGGGTCACGTGACCTGTCCAAGCAACGCATAGATTATATCGCATGCAAAATGTTATTTTACAATTAACTTCGTGAGAATTTTCGTTTTCAAATCATCATACAAACTACGAAATCGCAGACAAACAACCAGAATAGAACAAAATGCACTCTAATTATTTACAGGAATATTAAAGCAAGTTTAGTTATGATTAAATAAAAATAATAATCTTTTATAAAAGAAGCCAAATCTTTGAATTTTAGTCTCTCAATAAATTTCTCTATTATAATAATAATATAATGTTTTTCATGATATAATATTCGAGTGTTTTTTTTTTTTTTTTT